CTTATGCTATGTTACAGAATAATTTCGAAACGTTACCATCGAATGCGCAAATTGTTTTGGATGGACGGCGCATGTATCTCAACGAGGCGACACTTCTCAATGAAGGCGTATATCAGTGTCGGGTACGGAATAGTGCTGGTGAAAGTACTAAAAATTTCGCATTAACCGTTTTAGGTATTTATTTTAATGATTTATTGAAAGATAAATAAATGATGGAAATTTTATTGATCCATTCAATTAACTGAAAATCGTTTATGCACTTTAAAGCATTACACATCATATATTATCCCTCCTCCACTCTACGCTTATCAACATCTGATAACGATACACAATTTTAGTTTTATTTTAATCCGTTTTAGCACGAAATTTATGCTATTTAGAATTAATCACTCGTAAGTTAAACTATGATTTGTTTCAAATTTTTTCATACATTTATTAAACTTTTCATTGTTGTAGTACCACCAACTTTTCGTGATAAAAAATACGAAACAAACATTCAAGTAACAACGGGTACCGCATTATTGCTAACATGTTATGTTGATGGTCATCCATCACCAAATGTCCAGTGGCTTCGCGATGGTCAAAGTCTAACCGAAAATTATGTTTCAATGAGTGATCGAAATCAAAAATTAGTTGTACAACACAACGATTATGCTAATCACAGGTGCTTTTAAATTTACATTTTTTTATGCACAAGAGAGGAATGAATTAATTAAAAGCTTATTTTTTAATTTTTAAAAAGATTAGAAATGAAAAGAGGATATTAGTTAACGGAAGCTAACAAAGTGTTCCAGGGAAAGTTTTTTGAAAAATGTAGCAATTTCAGACTGAATGACATAGATTGTATTAATTTACATCATTAGCATATTATGTTACAAATTTTTACATAACCTTACACATGAGTTGAGATGAATATTGAAAATCATAACATTTACATAATATTCTTCCAGATATACGTGCATTGCAAGCAATAAGATTGGAAGTATATCGCGTGAATTCCTCGTTCAGGTATAATCATCGTAATTTAATTTAAAGATCGATCCGGTTGGATAAGAATAATTTAAGACTAATGAATGTTATTACTATCCGGAAATTTTTTTCTCATCTTTGTTCCTAATATTGCTATTTTTATTTTGCTACAGGTAATAGCTCCACCGGTAATGACCGATTCTGATGATAATGCACCAATTGAAGTGATCGAAGGAGATACAGTAACATTGGAATGTCCACTCTCTACACCAATTAATATTATGGATATAGAATGGTTTAAAAATGGACGTCCAATAACGGTAATTTATAAATTTTTTTTTCTCCTCATCAATAATCGAAATAATGAATTGAAGGAATGGAAATTTATTTTTATTGTCATTTAATTTAATTATTATTTTTGCATTTATCTTTATATTAAGATTTGAATTATTATTTTAATATCTCCATTATCTTTCATCTTTTATTCCAATTCTATTTCCAACTGTCAATTAAACTGTCATGTGAATATTTTATTAATCATTTTTATAATTATCTTGACTTATTTCTTTATATGTTTTAAAAGGTTAAAAAAGTCACATCATGACAATCTATCTAGGATAAATGAAAATACACCTCAATGAATATCACTTAAATACCTCATCCTGTATTTTCAAAGTTTTAATTGATAAAAAAAATTTTGATGAGTAAAAAACAATCGTATGTTTGTCTTTGTGCAAAATTTGTCATGATTGTTTTTAGTTGGATGATGCAAATATGCAAATTTCATTGGATAAAAGTCGATTAGTAATTGTACGCATGGCGAAAGAAGCCGAAGGGACATATATTTGTGTGGCACGAAATTCAGCCGGTCAAGCAACACGAGAATTTGATGTTGCAGTCATGGGTAGATATTTTGAAAATTTGCTTAAATCTTATATAACAATAAAATAGCTTTATCTACGAGTTCATATTTAAAAATTAATAATTATGGTGAGATAATTAAATAAGGTAAACTAGTGTAGTCTATTAATCAACTAACAAGATAAATATAAAATAAACAATTTTTTTTTTATTTTTACAGTTCCGCCAAGTATTATTGGCAAAGCAGTAGAACATATTTCAATTGTGGAAGATGAATCACTAGAACTTGAATGTGACTTCGAAGCAGATCCAATTCCGGATATACACTGGTCAAAAGATGGCGCTGATGTCGGAAATAACGTACAGGTAACGTACAGGATTTCTATTAACATACGATATACCTTTTAGTTTCTGAATATTGATGAGTAAAAAAGAGGGAATAAAAATATTTTGAATTTTTTTAAAAAAGGAAGTTGCATTCCAAAAAGTTATTTATGAGATAATAAAACCATCAAATTTGTTTAAATAATTAATTAGAATTTCGAAATTACATCATACTACTTCATCTTATCAATGAATGATATTTTAATTATAGCTTTTAAATGAGAAAAGAACAGCATTAGTACAATCGGTGAATTCTGAAAATGCTGGAAGTTATCGTTGTGGAATTATCAATAAAGCTGGTCGTGCTGAGAAAACATTCAATGTGCGCGTTATTATGAAGCCTGGTCAGTTTATTTCCACATAAATAATTATTTTTTAAAAAATTTCACATCAAAATGTGTCAATATTTCCTTGTAGAATTGGAAGATGCTAATATAACAGTATTGATCGAAACACTTGCACATCAACCAGTAAGCTTTGAATGTCCATTAGCGGTCACTTCGAATGCTAATATTTCATGGACGAAAAATTCTGTTCCTGTGATTCCTGGTTATAGCGATGATATACAGGTAATCGTTATCTGTAATTTATCAACTAATCAATATTTTAATATACTCAACTAATTGTTGCTCCATGATCTCTTTATTTCTTCGCCATTTTAAGGCTCTTGCATCATCATCATCTTATGTAAATGTCGAGTATAAGAGAAATTGTCAAATTATTTAAATTAATTGGATATCAATCAGCAAATGAGATGCATTTGGCCGATAATACTCCAAGCAATTTATCGTTCTTTTTTTTGCTCCTGATTCGAAGTTCTTTAATAGCTTGGAACTTTTAAATTAATTACATTCAGATTTTAAATGGTGGACGACAATTCGTTATCTCAGACGTTCAACCGGATGATCAAGCAATGTATAGTTGCGTGGCACGTAATAAGGCTGGTGAAGCAAGCAAAAATTACAAATTATCTGTGTTTGGTAAATTAATGTTAAGCCATTATAAATTTTTGTAAAAAATTCTCATAACGTGCAACTTCAAAATTAACAAAATTTTGTTTCCAACAAGCTTCATTTGATGCAATATTTTATGTAATTTGAATTATTTCAATATCCCTTCTTTATAGTTCTTTTCAATAGCCATTTTACTAATTTTTGCAGTACCACCAACAATTATTGGCAAAGGTGGAGTGCATAAAGTAATTGAAAATAATTCATTGGTTTTATCATGTGAAGTTGAAGGTGAACCATATCCAACCATTACTTGGATAAAGGTTCTCGTATTTCTTAATTTTTTATTAAATTAGTTTGAGAGATTTTTTGCAAAATAATCAGCGTGTGATAAGAATTCTTCGAGAATGCAATGGTTTATTTTATCCCATTCGATAAATGTTAAATTGATAATGGTATATGTGATTTTTTTCAGGATGGTAAACCGTTAGCATTTACTTCGGTACAGACGCTTTCAGAAGGCCAACAACTAAAAATTGCACGAACTAGTGTGGAGCATCGCGGATCATACGTATGCTTAGCGCAGAATAAAGTTGGTCAGGCGGAAATTGGTTTCGATGTGGATGTTATAAGTAAGTGGAAATATCCATGAAATATTTTATAATCATATTAGCAATGCTGATTGCTGTGTTGAAATGCATCAGTCATAATTTAATATTTAATTAAGCACATAAAAAGCGAAAATTTTATTTTTATATTAAAATTAAAATTTTTTTCTTACTTAGCTTATAATATGTAAAATATTCTTATTTATTAGCTCGTCCAACAATAGCTGAGGGAGTGAAGAAAATAGTTGAAGTGATACGGAACGATTCAATTGTAATTCATTGTCCAATAATTGACAAAAAATTTTCCGGAGAAGTTACTTGGTATGTGTTAAATTATGCAAATTTCAAATTTATCTTTATTTCATAACTTGTAATTATCTTTACAAAAAATCAGTTTCCACAATTTTTGCGAATAACTTGCTTGAATAAAATAACTATTTTAGCAATATTAGTAAGTAATATTGAAACATTATTATTTTACTTGCTAATCCAATGAAGAATATTGGAAGTTATATTTAGTAGACTTTAAAATTTTCACTTTTACCTAAGCTTATTAATAGATTAAATAAAGGCACTCTTATTTACCCAAATAGAATTATGGCAAGTAACTCTCTCTTTATAATGTTATAATTTTGAGGTTAAAAGATTATCAACCGATGAAAATTGATGGCCAAAAGTATGCTATGTCCCAGTTAAGTCGTAAGCTGCATATTAATCGGTAATTTTTAACACTTTTAATGAAACATTTAAAATTCTATAATTTGATTAAGGAGCAGTCATTCAAATTAATTGTGTGCAATTTTATGCCATTTTAATTCAGCTATGCCATTTTTCAAATTCAATAAGTTGAACGAATAACTTTGACAGATTTCTCTCTTTGACTCCTTTTTCTTCTTCATCTTTGTCTTCGTCTTCATCTTCTTGAAGATATCTTTTGAATAATTTTTTTACAAATTCAATCTTCTGATGGTTTACTCATCGAGAATTTAATCCGATCCCTGGGTGGTCATTTAATTATCTCATCCTTTTGAATATACCTTACTTTCAGTGATATGTATGATATCTTGTTCTTCTGAAACCCTATGCTTTCATTATTAAGAGCTGACCTACGTGATGAGGGAAGCTACAGTTGTCGAGTGAGGAATGATGCTGGTGAATCGAGAATTGATTACAAATTAAGTGTTCTACTACCACCAGAAATACTAATTCTAGATAAGGATAAGAATAGGTATAATATTTTATGCGACTTTCTTTCTTTCTATCAAATCTATTAGAAAATTTTGATCGCCTTAAAATACATATTATTTTTAATATATTATCATTTTAAAGTTAGTAAACTGAAAGTTATACGATTACTTCTTTTTTGTTCTGCTATGATATTAATAGAATTAATAAATTAAAATTCAAAATATTAAAAAATGGAGTTGAAAAATTCTTAAATTGGAAAATATTTAAATTCAAAATTTTTGTACTTCACATTATATATTATAGGACACTAATCGAGAATAGTGCGATTACATTGAGTTGTCCGGTAACCGGTAAACCGGAACCAACAGTGGAATGGTTTAAGGATGGTGAACTTTTGACATCGCTCAACATTACAAAGAGAATTGATACAGGATACATGAAAGGCAATGATCTGAAAATTGCACGCATAAAAGTAATTTATTTTATTTTACAATTAAAATAAATTGATGAAACGATTAAATTATTTCAATTATCAGTTTTCACTTTATTCTTACAATAACTTTTTCAAATTTTCTTTTTTGACTAACAGCAATAACTTTTAGAAGAGAGAAATGAGAGTGTGCAAATTATCTATTTGCTTTTTCATATAATCTGTCGAAATTTATTAACGGTATAATTGCAGGTAGTAAATTCAGGTCGTTACACATGTGAAGCAAAAAATAAAGCTGGAATGGTAGAACAAGACATTCTGGTATATGTTATGAGTAAGTTTTAACTTTTCATTATAACACATATATATTTGCAAATCCATATAAAGTAAAATTAAATCACTAAAAAAAAGAATGATAAAGTTTGAAGAGATATTTTTTCGAAATTCATTTCAGTTTTTGTAAAATTTCTTTAATTTTATGCATGAACTTTTCCCAAGTTTATGATAAAATTGCTCTTTTTTCTGTCAGAAATGTTAGCTTCTTTAACTTAAAAAAGTTTTAACTTTTTTTAATTTAAAAAAGTGCTAATCTTTAATTTTCAAACATATGAACACATCAAAAGTATACAAAAATTTTATTCTAGCACCACCGAAAATAGAACGTGAAGGTGTACCAGCAGAAATTGGTGGTAAATCACAAAGTGCGCTAACAATTAATTGTCCAGCATACGGTCGACCAATGCCTACAGTAACATGGTTAAAAGCTGGTCGACCATTTTATCATGATTCTGATGTTTATTTATCTGCTAATGGAATGAAATTACATTTCTTGAATTTAAAAAAGGTTTGATGTTCATCGATTTAAAAAAACACATTTTAATACTTAAATAAATATCATAACTGTTTTTAAATGAATAAATTAATATTAGATATTATAAGATACGTTTAGGAATAGAAAAAGTTTCACAAGCAAAGAGCTTATCAAGTTAAAAATTTTATTATATTAAATGTTAAGAAGCGATAAATTCATTTCATTAGCCATATTTTCAACAATTAACTGGCAGAAAAATTCATGATAAGCACAATTATACTGATGTTAACTAGCAATAAATTTTATAAAATTTTGATTAAATTTATTAATTTAGTCAACATTATGACTTTACATGAATTTGAAATAAATCCAAACTTTTAATTAAAAAATAACTTTTAAGAATGATGTTGATCGTTATACATGTATCGCACGAAATCCAGCTGGTGAGGAAAAACGTGATTTCACCGTGAAATTATTGGGTATATATGATTCGTTATAAAATATTAAAAAAGTAGAAAATAAAGATATTTATTGTTCAAATATAAATAATTGCTGTTATTCATATAGTTAAATATATGTATTTTACGTGTTTCACAACCATTTAAAAATTTTTCATATTTAAAAAATTGATATTGCTAATTTGATACTTTCAAAATGAAGTGATTTACTCAAAAATGTATTGCAAGCTGATAAAAATATTTCAAATTTAGAAGCTCCAACAATCGAAGGACCGAATATTTTGCATCGCATGCAAGTGAATGCAGGCCGAACAGCGGTCATTAATTGTCCAGTATTTGGCAGTCCCGAACCATCCATTGCTTGGCTAAAAAATGGTCAACCATTGGGAACCGATAGCCATTATGCTATTTTAAACGGTGGACGACAACTTGAAATAAGTGACATTTCTTCGATTGATGACGCAAGGTATTTTTTCAAAATTTAAAAAATATTTATTTCTAAATCATTGAAAATATATTTCACTTCTTTTACGTGCACAAATATTAATTAATGTAAGTACATAAGCATCCATAAAAACTTTTATTTGTTTAGTAAAACCGAAAATAAAAATTGTAATTGAGAGATAATATTTCATTTAATAAGAGCCAAAAGAATACGGGACAGAACAGATCTATAAAACTTCCATTCTCGACTTTAATTATCATTTTTAGATGATATTTTTTTCTCTGCCTGATTAGCGGAAATTTTTTTAGGTACACATGTATAGCAACAAATGATATCGGTCTAGCTGATTTGGAAACTTATCTTCAAGTCATCGGTCAGTTGATATCATATTTGAATATCATATATTTGAATATATATCATATATAGTTGATATCATATATTTGAATTAAACCAATGGTTGCATAAAATTAATTTGAAAATATTATTAACTTGGAAATTTTGATAAATGTTATTGTTTGCTAGAAATGGAATAATTTTAAGATGAAAAAAATGATATCACGATATATTTAGGAGGTCCAGTGATAGTTGGTGATAAACAAGAAGTAATTGAGGTATTTATTAATGAGGCAAAAGATTTGTTTTGTGATGTTTCGGGTACTGAACCAATTGATATCGAATGGTTGCGTGGCGGAGAAGCTATCGAATTTACAGGCGAGCCACGATCAGAAACAAGCTATCTTCAGGTTTAA